AAAGTCCATGACCTTGAGCTTCAGGCGCTGACCTTTTCTCTATATGGAAAGAGAGCCGGAGAGCAACAGCTCGCTGTGTGTGTGTGTGTGTGTTCCTCAGGGTGGGGAGTGTGTATAAAAGGCCGAGGCGTTTGGTGGGCAGCTCAATTGTTAAGCCGTGTGTGTGTAGGTTATTGTCTGCCGGCTGTTTTTTTTTTCCCCCCCTCAGACACATAGCGAGATAAATGTGTTTTGGAATAGGGGGCATTGTACCACATCCACCAGCACAGGGAGGCATGGGGCACCATCATTTAGATAAAACAAATTACCAACAGCCACAACGAGAGAGAGAGAGAGAGAGAGAGAATGATAGAGGTGAGAACATACACTGCAGAGAAGATAGAAAAACGCCCAGCAGGTTCGAGATTCACCAAGCTTTCTCTCTCTCTCTATCACATAGAGGGGCAACACACAAAGCTATTTTCTCTGGCCAATAGCGGCGCAGCGGTGCGGGAAAGGCGAGCAGTAAATTCCCGCTGGGTAATTAAAATCAATAGCCACGACTCGCTTAGTAGCCAACAAGGTCAAACGCTGGAGAGGAACCGGGATAATGCCCAAACAGATAAATAAAAAAATAAAGTGAGGTGTCACGCTGTTTCATTAACCCTGCGTGGGGAGAGGTGTGTGAGCGTGTGTGTGTGTGTGTGTGTGTGTGTGTGTGTGTGTCTAATGTCTGCTTGGCAGGGTAGTCGGGGTGCACGGCAAACAGCCGCGGGTCCTGAAGCTAACCCCACTCAAAAGCAGGCCAAATACTGCAGCGAGCACAGCTGACCCTGAGCATGAGACTCACACATACAGTATACACATATACATACTCTCTATACACAAATACTGTATATGTGCATGTATATAAATGAAATATATTTGAAATGAGAAAATATGGATTTTTAAGATTTAGCTGTTTTAGGACCATTTTACCTTTGGTGTTCAAGAAACATTAATATTTTTGAGGAAACAGCATTTAATATAGAATTGTTTTGTAAAAGTCACTTTTGATCAGCTTCCTTCTAATGTCCCTGCGGAATAAAAGTATTAATTTGTTTTAAAAAATTATGTATATGTATATGTTTTTTTTAATTTTTATTCAGTATATAGTCTCAGGCTTTTGCATATTTTTCTAATGTAATGGTATATGTTTATTTTATTTTTCATTGCAAATCATAACATCATCTTAAAAATGAATTAATTTCATAATGTTTTGGTAAACTTTTGAACAGTAGTGTATATCTCCTGGTGTTTATTGAACACTTTTATTAAAAACAAATACTGATTTTCAAAATGACAGGAATAGTAACAGTAGATGCATTACGGTAATTAGAATAAGGGTATAAAATATGCCTAATTGCCTTAAAAAAATTATCATGAAAAATATTTTAATGGTCCTAAATGTAGGCCTTGTTTTGATGCACAAAATGTATTTATTTATTTTCATTTTGGGGATCCAGACTACCTTTGTGAGATTTACATACAAATTTAGGTTTAGCTGTGTCTATTCAAATGAATCAGTTACTGTATATCTAATAATTGTTTCTAAAAATGAGTAATGGTTACGGTTTGTGTTTTTAAGTGACATTTGAACTTAACATTGTGTGTGTGAGTGGGATGGCTGTGTGTTAAGATGTAAGTAACAGACAGTGAAGGGTCATGAGTTTTTTTCGTGATGTAGTATATTTGTCGCCAAGCCTGACATGCATTAGAGATCATGTAATGTGTCAGGGAGTGTGTGTTAGCACTAGAGTAGAGTTTGGACCAAGCAGGCACCTGTCCTGTGTGTTAACACTCTTTTGAGACCCGTAGAGATACCAGTCCCCCAGAGGATTTCTCAGCTTGATCGTTCATTTGCTGTCTTTTCCTCCACAGAGAAAAGCTAATTCACTTTCATTTCGGCTCAGCGGTTCACTTTGTTCAGGTAGCAGAGGAGTCTGGGAATGAGTGTGTGTACATTCTGCGGTGTGTGCGTGGATGATGCTCTGTTATGTTGGCTTGCACTGTGTGTGGCTGTTTCATATCTGCATAGTTTTACATACGAAAGCTTTATTTCTCGTGGGGTTCCTAATGAACATCAGGGTGGAGCATGCTCTTTTAAACGGCGAATCACAATGCTGCACCCGAGGGGCTTGCTAATACAGGAAACAAGCTAAGCAATGCATATGTTGTATGTTGGTTGCTGTAAACTGCCTATCTTGACAGCATTTGGATCAGGCCTATGATTCTTTAAAACAATCATGTAGCTAGCTCACTTTTGACATATACTGTACCTGTAACATTTAAATCAATTTGGCATGTTTCTAATATAATGCAATGCTATTTTATTTTATTTAAATGAATAAATGAATGAAATTAGTATGTTTTGTAGTTTTAGATTGATGGTGATCAATGTCATTAATATATTAAAATATTGATGTAGATTAATGCAGAATCAGAAATATTTCTTATTCATTTTATATCATACATTTTCTTAATATTAAAATGTTTGAAATCCTAAAACTTATATTACCAGAATCTCATATTTTCAAAATAGTCTCAGGCTTTTGCTGTTTTTTTTTTTTTCCAAATATAATGCAACATTTTATTTGATTATTGTATTTATTTTATTTTACCTTATCTTATTTAATTTTTCATAGCAAATCATAAAATCCTATGCTTAGCTTATGAATGAATGAATTTCATAATGTTTTAGTTGTTTGTCATATTTAATAATAAAACACAGATTAGCGTGTATTAGTATTTTTAGCTTGATGGTGATCAATGCCATAAATTTGTTTATTGTAATATTAAAATAGTGACATAGATTCTGTGACATAGTGCAGAATAAGAAATATTTCATTTTACATCATAACTTTTCTTAATATTAAACAGTTTGAAACCCTAAAACTTTTATTACCAGGATTTTGAATCTCATATTTTCAATATAGTCTCAGGCTTTTGCATGTTTTAGTGCAACATTTTATTTTACTTTATTATATTTTTCATAATCATATATTATCATATATAATTATATTTTCATATTTTTCATAATCATAATATCAGTTAATAAATGAATGAATTTCAGAGTGTTTTAGTATTTTTAGCTTGATGGTGGTCAATGCCATAAATTTGCTTATTTTCATTTTAAAATAGTAACATAGATTAGTGCAGAATTAGAAAAACAATGTCTTCATTTTCAAATGTTAGAAATCCTGAAAAGTATATTTTCAGGTTTAAACATGATTTAGAATCTCATATTTTCAACATAGTCTGAGACTTTTGGATCCCACTGTATATGTCTGTGTGTTTGTATGCATTTATGCATATGGGTCACTGAAGATAAGGGAACAGGTGTGTGTTTAGAACTTTTCAAGCGTTCAAACAAAGACACTAACCCAGTTCCATCAGTGTACAGGGTGTATGTGAGTTGTTTAGTAGAAAAGAATGAGATGGAAGGACTGGAGGCTGATTTTAGAGAGCTGTTTCCTCTCTCTTATCAGTATGGCCGTGTGGAAGCTTCTGTGCTGTTCACATAGATAGCATCTCCATCTGATCTCTCTCTCTCTCTCTCTCTCTTCCCTGTCCCACAGTCAGCCCAGCCCAGCTCTGATCTTTCCTCTCTTTCTCATCTTCTCACTATCTCCCTCCCCCTGTTATTCCCTCCAATGCCTTCCATCGTATGTTCTTTGCCTGTCCTTCACTGCTATTTGCTCACTCTCTCGCTCTCTCTTTCTCTGCAGATGTGCAGATTTACTTTCAGCAGCGCCACATAAAACTGATTAACAGCACAGTATATCATTTTATATGCAAATAACATTGCTTTCATTGTTCAGGCTGCTCATTGTGCACTGCAGAAATGTTCATTGTTTACAATTTGTTGGTAGAGTTTGCCTTCATCTAGATGGGTTTTTAAAGTGAGAGAGAGAGAGAGAGAGAGAGGGGGGGGGGGATAAATGAAACAACAGTACTGTGAATGACTGTAGGGGATGTAGAGGATTGATCGGCCTGCAAGTTTCCAGACTTTTATTATTTATTTTTTTGTTTGTTTATCTATTTGTTTATACTATTTTCTTCACTTAATTTCATATAGTTGTCTCTTCTCACCTATCTCTTTTATTTTCATTTAATTTTAATTATTCAATTTTCTTTATTTCCTATCTATTTTATTATTCATTTTTTTATTTACGTTTCCTTTATTTTACTTTTATTACTTTATTATAAATATTTCATTTTATTTATACTCATTTGGTCACTTCATCTCATTTTTATCAGATCTTCTCTTTTCACTTCTTCTCTTATTTTATTTTGTTTTATTCACTTCTCGTGTCATTTCATCTAATCTTCTCTTCTCTTTTCACCTCTTTTTCTTTCCTATTATTTTTCTTTAGATTTTTTGTTATTTGTTTTATTTTATTTATACCCTTCTTCACTTAATCACTTCATCTAGTCTTCTTTTTTATTTTTTATTTTTTATTTTTATATATTTATTATTTTTATTTTATTCTCATATCACCTCATCTCATCCTCTCTTCTCTTGTCACATCTTTTTATTATTTTATAGTTGTTTATTGTATTGTAAGTAAATCAGACAGCAATTGTCTGTCACACCCAAAGAATCTTATTTACTGCCATTGATGACATGAAAAGCTATTTGAAACACATTAAACTTCTGTAAGGTAAGATATTTCCCAGTGACAAGAACATTAGGCAGGAAATAATGTAGATTGGGGTTTTATTTGATCAATCAAGACTTGATTGAGTTGTGACCGTGACGATATGGCTGATTAAAAATAATATTTTCCTCATCTATGCAACCTTAGTTACATCAGCTGAAAAGTATCATTACAGAGAATGTTTTAACATTATAATTATTAAATATTATGAACGCAAACTTTTTATTTCTTCAGAACAAACTCTCACTAACCCATGAATGTTCACTGAGAAAGCAAATAAGGTGCATTCATTGTCATATTGTCTTTCTTTCTTTGTCACAGGCAAAGACTGCCAGCCAAGAATGTGTATTACTATCGCTGCCCCGACCATCGGAGGAACTACGTGATGTCTTTCGCCTTCTGTTTCGACCGCGAGGATGACATTTATCAGTTTGCGTACTGCTACCCTTACACCTACTCCCGTCTGCAGCATTACCTGGCCAGCCTGGAGCACAGAAATCTCGATTACCTGCACCGAGAGCAGCTGGGCCTCAGTGTGGTTAGTCACTGCATGTTTGCACACAGCGTTACTGCACGTCTTTGTTGCGTTTCCGGTGTTTCTGTCAGTGTGTATTATGTTAACATCTTCCTGTGTCTGCTGTGCACTGCACACTCATTTTCTTTAAGGGGGCGGACACATGTAAGTGTCTTTGAGGATGCATGACTGTGTGTGTGTGTGTGTGTGTGTGTGTGTGTGTGTATGCATGATCTGCACAGGTAACTGGATCATTCACATTGCCTACAGTCCCGTCTCGCTCTTATCAAATAATTGTTGAGGAAAACTCATTAGGAATGCTCGAGAGATTAAAGCCCTCTTTTAGGGCCTTCATCACTTTCACGTTCGTCAAGGAGAGCCAGGCACGGGAAGCCACTGATGAAAGGACATTTATTGATAAGAAATATGGTGTCAATGGAAAAAAAGAAATCAGTTTCACATGAAATAGGATTTGAAAGGGCAAATATATCAGGGGGAAAATAAATGGCAAAACTATATGTTAAAGCCATGCAAGAACAGAAATACAGACTTGAGGGTGCATATGGTGCTGTTATTTTTTTTTTTTTTTTAATCACCCGTTTCGATTCATTCACTGCATAAACCCAGATCAGTTCTGTAACCATATTTTCTGTCTCTTCAAAACTCTAACAACTTAAACATGTATGAATGTCATTGCATTAGATAACAAGGGTTATGTGTAATAAGATTTTTTAATTCTTTTGAAGTCTGTAATGTATTTGATCAAAAATACAGTACAAAACAGTTATACTGTAAAATATTATTGCAACTTAAAATAACTGAATTAAATGTAATTTACTATTGTGATGGCAAAGCTGCAACCATTACTCCAGTTCTTCAGTTTCGCATGGTCCTAAAACAAGATACAAAACATACTTGGTACTGCTGCTGCTACATGATATAAGCAACTGGTGGCACTATTGTTTTTAATTGAAGTGTTACAGAAAAATCTGAATTTTTTAATATATATTGGAGGCCTCTGAATTGGTTCATTTTGAGTAAGGGTCAGTGTTGCTATTGCTATAACTAAAATTTAAACTTTTTTTGTGTTGTTATTAATTGAAACAAAGCTGAAATAAAATTAAATCTTAATACTAGATGAAAAACTTTAAAAAACCTAAATGAAAATGAGAAATGTTGTCTTGGCAGTTAAACAAAATAAAATAAGTTTAGTACTAAAATGACTAAAAATAAAACGGAAATAAAAATTTAACGCTAAATAGAAATAAAAAAAAATTTAAATGACAAAATTACATAAAATTACTAAAACTGAAAATGTTAAAATAAGCTAATTCAAAATATTGTTTAGTACTATTATATAAGTAATACTAAAATAACAGGTGGAGGTTCTGAGTTTTGGTAAAGAACAAAATTCCTCATCTCAATACCTTTTGGGCCACTGTGCCTCCCTTGCCATTTCATTAGTATGTATAATCAGCATTTTTATAATTCACATAGAAGATATAATGTCAGAAATAAAGCAAGAATGAAAGAATAGATACTGAATGAGGGAGAAAAAGAGAGGGAGGGGCATTGTGATAGAACAAGAGAGAGTGAGACCGAATGTATTTGTATGCGCAGGCATAGGGACTTTTTATGGCCTTATTTGTCTTTTTATGTCCTCTGTTCTTGGGTATGTGGCAGTACAACACTCTTAATGACCTGCAGAGATGGAGGAGAGAGGGAGGGAATGAAGAAAAAGAGAGCAGGATGAGGCTACAACAGCTTGGACTGCAGTAGTAAAACACTCTCTGGTGTAACACACAAACGTGATGTACTTAAACAGAGGCCCTGTGAGGAGGAAGTTAGTGTGCACTAACATACACACACACACACATGTGCTATAGGTAAAGCACCAGAGAACAAGCCTGGATTCAGTGTAATACTGGGATTACTTCTCTCATATCTTTCACTTTCAATGAGGCAAGTAAATACGAAGAGCGTTCCACAAAAAGAGTCCTCTAGTACATCTCAATTACCTCTTTTGCTCTGTTAATGCTTTGCCTCTCAGTGTCGAACTCGTTTCTTTTTAGAAGTCTGCTTGCTGGTGAGGTATATATGAGCACAAATGTTTTATGTTGGCATTTGTAATACAACAGCCAATCAGATGCCTCTCTATCCAGAGGTCTATGAAGATGAATCAAGCAATACAAGCAATCACTGTCCAAACGCCCCAAATACGCTCATACGGACTGTTTTCACGACTTTAAAATGCAGGCTCGCAACAACTGTCATGTTCAACAGCAATCGTCACATCTGTTTATTGTATCTTTAGTCATCAAAGTCCTCTAACAGCATTATAAAGACAGAGAAGCATAGCGGGTTTTGACAGTGGCTTTGATGGATGATTATGCGTAGAAGCTTCTTCTACCGTTCGCTGCTGCCCATTTCGAACGTCGAGTTCGCATCAGCAAATGGAGAATGAAGTTGTTTTGAAGGCTGCGCATCCAGATCCATTATCCGAGTGTGAAACACTCGAGCCATCTGAATATTTAAAAAAGATCAAACTCAGATCTGCATTTATGGATGTGAATTATTTAGGCGTGCGGTGAAACTTATAGCACAAACAGCATGGTCTTTGTAGATTAAAATAAGTGTGTTGGAATAAATATTTAAGCATGTATAAATGTTTATTTTGCATAAAAGAAGGCGGCCTCGGGGTCTTTGTTGATGCTCAGTTATCATGACTCAGATGACCTGCCTGTCTAGACACAGCTCCCCCAGTTTCATCCTCTCCTCTCATGTAACCTTCAGTCCTTTTCCTTTGGCCCAGAGCCCATCAATCTCAACAGAGGCCCGTCACATGACTTGAGCCCCGCTCCCTCACACAGGTGCCTTGTTGTGTTGAATTCTGAGTGCCTGCTCCTCTCCAGATGTGGAGACAGAGCAACAGTTGTGGATCTGACAGGCTAGCAAGAGCACTTACTGCAACAAAGAGCAGAGACTCAAAGACAAGCAGACAGACAGAATCCAGCCTGAGGGCCTGACCGGCACTCTCTGCTTCACTTCACGTCTCTCTCTGTCTCTCCCCATTGCCATTTACAACTATAGAAATATTCAGGTTTACATTGATATAGTCATGCAGGCTTATAAAAATATCAATTTTTTTTTTATTATGATTTCCTCGTTTTGCTGTACTCAAATTGAAATGCTATATTGCAATTTAGTATGTTCCAATGTTTTTTGTTTATTTTACCGTGAAATGTTGTTGCTCAAAATTGAATTTTGTAGAAAGTACAAGGAGAAAATGAAAGTCCTGTAGCACCCAGAAAATGAGGCTGTTATTTGAATGATTCACAGATAGAGACCAATTGTAAGATAAATGTTCCCTCATTATTAGTGTAATTGTTTTTCATCTGTGTAAATTTAGAGCTTCTATAATGCAAAAGGCCAAATGTTCTGAATACCATCCAGACAGTAAACAAGTCATGTATTTGCTAGTTTTTTTTTTTTTTTAATTTTGGAGATTCCTTGAATCAGTTTTATTAAATATTGAAACTAAATAATTATTAGTTTTTTTTTAGCTATAAAAATGAGTTCGTATAGACCAATTCGGTGTTTGCAAACAGTGATGATGTTTTTTTGTGGGCGGAGCCTATCTGGTGGCAGAAAATGAGAGTTTTCAAGTAGCAGTCTATGGAAGGCATGGAATAAAAGAATTTTAAAAAATTACATTTGATTTTATATTTCAAAAGTCTGACTTTATTCTCACAATTACGAGATTATATCTCACAATTCTGATAAGGAAAACAACTCTCTGGCTTTTTTCCCTCAGAGTTGACAAACTCACTGTTGAGTTAAATCGAGTTATAAAGTCCGAACTAGGAGATATAAACTTGCATTTGCAAAAAAAAAAAAAGTCAGAATTGTGAGATAAAATATATGTTATGTAAAATGTTAATAGTATAAAATTTAAATAACATTTCATGCTGTAACTGTAGGGCTAATACAATACGTCCCCTATGAACTGCATGTGTGAATATTATTGTTTAAATCAAATTTATGCTTTAAAAGTAGAGTAATCATAGCAGTTTTCATGTCCGTTTAAACGTCTGCATTTAGCTTCGAATGGCGTCTTTGAGGACAGTATTCTATAAAAATTATTTGCATTCCGATTCTGACATCAAAAGGCACAAAAATATATTTTTTTCTCTTCTTCCATGAATTTTACCTGTTTCCCTCCACTTGTTACCAGTTTTTCTGCCACCACTATGCATGCGCAGCTGCAAGTGATGTAACTGTGATGTCTACTCCAAATTGGTCTATAAGCACCAACATTTAGGGAGAATGATGTTAATCATAGCAGACCCATTTCTAATGGTGCATGCTATAAATGTTTAAAAGCTTTAGGTAGGCCACAAGTTTGTACTTGATTCATTTGTCATGTCTAGAGAGTAGCCAGAGCCTTCAAAAACTTGCTTTTAATTTGTTCTGCGGTCAGTTCTGCTGTGTTTTTTCTTCATGTCCATTGCTGTAAGCGACGTACATTTAAAACAGGCCTTGAGTCTTTCATGACCAGACTTTCAGAACTATTCTGCGAGTTTATGCTCACTCTCCATCTGTCTGTTTTATAGCACATAAAGTTTCCATAGGGGAGAGCCTTGAGTCAGGTTGGTGCAGAGTGACTGCGGTTACTGGTGTTTCATCCAATACGGTCAGTTCACTGCACTTTTCATGTCTCTAAAAGAGAGAACATGGATGAGATCAGTGGTGTCATTCTAAACGGTGTCATATTCACTTTGATAAGATGACTTTGATAAAATTTTAAACATTCTATTAACAGAATGTGCATATAAACTGTGTTGTGCAATGTCTAGCTGTAGTATTCAATTTTAACAAAACTAACAGTAAAGCAATAAGAAAGGAGAGGCTTGTCCTTGAGGAGTTGTTTCTTGAAAAGATGATGATGCTGTTATGATAAAGTTGTTTTGATTTACAAGTTGATTGGAAAAATCTGATTTGTAGATTGATTGTATAGTTCATGA